ATGCAGAATATAGAGAAACCAAACACAAAGTCAGGAAAAAGACAAAACTTGCAAGCTGACCGTAGACATGAGGCGAACCACGGGAGGGGCGGCGGGGAGAGGGGTGAAAACAGAGAGAAGGGCACGTGGGGCTGTGGCCATGGTCGTGGGTGGTGTGTGGGTGGGGAAACTATCAGCACTCCGCGGGAGGGGAGAAATCAAATACTGTACAAAAATGAACAACAATGTAAGAAAATAAATAAAAGTGAAAATTAGAAAAGCATCCAGAAGTCTATTTCCAGGTGCCCTCGCACCCAGGGGCCATGGCCCCAGCCTATTTTATAAGCTCTCTGAGGACTGACTCTAATCTTAGCACAATGGGCTTCCTCACATCAAGGTGACCTCCCTCCCAAATGTTTTTCTTGTCCCTGCACTCCCTGGCGCCTGACCTTATGCAACTTCCCTTATCTGCCCCTGCAATTGCTAAGCAAATGTCCTTCTGGACACAGCTAATCTCTCTATCGGTCCTAGATCCCTTGAGATTACAAAGGTTAATTATACTTTTGGTTTGTGGAGCTCATTTTTCCCCAAGGTACGTTCGGTACCTTCGTGTCTCTGATTTCACCTTCCTGAAACTTTTTTGTCTGAGTCACGACGTTTGACTGCTTAACCCTTCAACCCACGCCTCAGTTTTCTTGGGTCCAGAATGAGGCAGTTCAACTACACGAGCTTTTTATTTATCAGCTGAAGAAAATTTAGGGGCAGAGCTGGAACGGGGGTCAGAGGCCAGCCCCCCTTCTGTGTGGAAGATGTACTGCCATTCACCTTCCAGAATGAGCCTGACCTCCAGGTTCCTTTTAGTGCCCTTTCCTTCAAGTGTGCTAACCGATCAGAAGAAGCCTTGCTGGGAATAGCCCCCTTTGTCCTGAATGCCTCTCTGACTTCCCAAGTGATCCTACGCACTTATTCCTTGCTCCCACACCCCTAAACGGGGCCCAGCCTCCTCACTCAGAATCCCTTTGTTGTAAGGACCCCTCCACTCCCTTCCCTGCAGGGGGTCTGTCCTGCACCTCTATGCCTCACCCTCAAGACATCCTAGAAAACTGAGGGGTCATGCAGTGCCCTGCCCCTCCTAGACCTGTTCTGTCCTGGGTAGGGGCTTTCTGCACCTTAGAACCTAAGGCCAAGCCCTGACTCTTCTGGTTCCAGAACAGGCTTTGGCCCTGCGCCTGGGACAGCAGGTCACCCGCCTCCTCAGAAGGGGATGGGCCCTTCCCATGCGATGCATGAAAACTCAATTACAAAGGTAATCCTGTTTTGTAATGTTAACAAGCAAGAACAAGTCACAGGAGAGAGGGCCAGTCCAGCCCCCGAGGCAGGTGGTGCCATTACTACCAGCAGGCCAGTCTACTGAGCAGCTCAACACTGAGGCCCCAATCTTCTCCTATGGAGAACACTTGGAACCTCTTCTTTCAAACGAGATCTCGTGGCCTTTTTCCTAACTCATAACACACACACACAGGCATGCATTCACATAAGCACACATACGCACACACAAGTACTCACGTATGCATGTATACATGCATGATTCACATGGACACAGTATGTTAACACCATGGGACTGTTCTGTGCACCATGGGACTCAGATTTTACTGACTAGAATCTCTGATTTCTGGGAAAAGGCATTCATATTGTGTCAGGATCAGGAAGGGCCTAGGACCAGACACCTGGCACTGACTAGCAAGCTCCACCATTAGAGATTCAGTCCTTTTGGCTCAAAGGCCTCTTGATCTTCACAGGTTCCAGTTCCCTAGTAAATTATAATTACTGGGGGAAGGCACTGTTAAAGGTCCCCAACACCAGTCATAGTCCTGGATCAATTTTTTAGCTACTCTGGTAGAGTGGGAGCAAAGGCCTGGAAAAGAAAAATCAGAAAAGACTTGCAATGAGGGGACAGAGGGACAAAACAAACAAGTACCCCACAGGCTACCTTGTCTATAGAAGAGTCGAGACATATCACCCCATCATTCAGCAGATATGAACTGAATGGAATGAGTGTTTACTCCGTGCCCGGAACCTCGGCAGGCACTGAGAATACTGTGGCAAGTCAAACCTGAGATGGTCCCTGCCCTCCCGGAGCATCTGGTCCACAAGCAGGAGGGTTGGGAGAAATTAATCAAAAGATCACATTAATGAACTTGTCATTGCAAACCAAGAGGAATGCACCTAAGTTGCTGTAAGAATAGCACCAACAAATAACCTAGATGGGGCATCAGGAAGACTTTCCAAAGAAGTGATGCTTGAGCTGATCCTAACATAAAATTAACTAGAAAAATGGACATTCCCGGCAAAGGAAACCACGTGTGCAAAGACCCTGTGGTGCAAAGAGTCACCTAATACTGCCATGTGCATAATCTTTAACCTTCGGTAAACTTTGAACTTGAAGGAAAATGTTCTCTTCTAAAAATGTGTTTCCCTTTCCTTTTCCCTTTCCCCTGCCACTTACCCCTGCCCTTAAATCAATCTGAGCGACACAGAGAAGGTGAGCTAAGCAGGAGAAAGCCTTAAAAAAACAAAGGCTGCAGACAGCAGTTATGACAGCCATTTCCTGTTTGGTGTCTCTCACCACAAATCTTCTTAGTCAAATAAATTATCACAGAAAAGTATTTTGGAGAAGGGTGTGGAAGACACACATATTGAAAAACCAAGAAAAAAAAGTCCCATCTGCTTTTGGAAGAAGAGGTTCACATCTGAGGTCCAAGCCAAAGTCCCTCAACTGTAGCAGCTGACCAGGGGAGGACATTTAGTTCCCCTCAAGCACTAACCTGGAGAAAACTAACCTGGGACATTTAGTTCCCCTCAAGCACTAACCTCACTCCCTCTGGTCCCATCAAACCAGAACTGCTGGCTTTCTTCTATCAGATAAGGAACAATGGCGTTGGGCCTGTCCCTTACACCCACCGTGAGTGAAGCTAAATTTGCCTTGGGTACAGAAGCCCAATTTCCTTGTGACAAGGAAGCTGTGGAGGGCTACACATTTTCTGTCGAATATAAGTGACCCTCACCAGAACTCTAGGAGATAAGGATTCACACCCATATTTTGCAAATGAGCAGCCAGAGGCTCTGAAAGGCTAAATAAGTTGCCCAAGTCACCAAGACACAGGATGGTAAAGTGGGATTTTTAACCTGGTCTTGGGTGAAAGCCTACTACTCTTCTCTCCCTGTCTTCCCCCAATGCAAACTTAGAGGGATATTTCAGAGGAGAAACCTCCTTGGGGTCCCCAACCTAAACTGATTGCCTATGGGCCACTCAGCACCTATTTAAAAGTGCCCTCAGCTCAGATGGGCCTTCTCACACCCAGGGCAGACATGCTGTATAGCTGCCTCTGTCCGGATTTCCCAAGAAGAGGCATCTGGTGTTTCTTCTGCCCCATCTCAGAGGCTGGCTGCTGTCTGAATAGTTGGGTTGGCACTTGATCCTCTCATAGTGGGCGTGTGTCATATTTTTGTTTTGTTTTGCTTTAGTTAGTTATTCCTCCCAGAAATTAGAACATGAAATTCCCAAACTCGAAAACATACTATTCACATCCTACTAGCTCCACATGCTCAACATTCAGTCTTGTTCTATTCCAGAAAAGCCTGCCGGCTGACACTCTCCACCTAACAATCAGGCAGTTTGTAAGGGCCATGGTGTCTGCACTGAGTCTTACAGGAGGAGTGTAGTGGAGCCTGCTGGGAGATTATCCGTGATGGCACTCCCAAGACGTGTTCCAAGGAACACATTGTGGATTGCTGGTAGCCTTTACACACACACACACACACACACACACACACACACACACACACACTCACTCACTATCAGGTCATTTAGCAATAGGGTTTCTCAAACCTTCTGTGGTAGAGATGACTAGTCCCAAGACCCAATCTCTTTGACTTTTAATAAGAGAATGCTCAGATTTTCGCTGAGCACATATCTACCCAGGAAGGGCCTTTTCCCAGCTTCCCTTGCACCCAGGATGACCATCTGACTAAGATCTGCACAAGGGGAAAGGAGCAGAAGTGAATATACTAAAACCATTGAAATGTATGCTTTAAAAGGATGAATGTTAGAGTATATGAATTATTTCTCAATAAAGAAATAAAATATTTGAATTTGACCCAAAAACCTCATCAGAGCTTGGGGAAAAAAGAAAAGGATTAAAAGAGAGGTTATTTAGTTTCCCAACTCTTCTAAAAAACAGATCAAATACAGATAGAGCTTTTGTCACTATAAATAAAATTAAGTAGTTCTGTTTAGGATTTATGTTCTATAGTAATATAAAGATGGAAGTCTTTAAATAACTTGAGGTTCTAAAGATAGAAAAGCATAAGTATGAAAATTATGAACTTCCTGTTTTTATGCCTCTCTCTAGTCTCCACAAAGTCAGGTATTTGGGCATGAGATGGAGGGGTCACGACTTCTACCTGCAAAGCCCAGTTACGAACGACCTGGCATCTGGACCTCCTAGTCCACAGAAGTCACTTGGCATTGAGGCCCGCATCACCAAATCCTCCTTAGCAAACATATTTTATAAAAGTACCATTATTTTAAACCCTCCAGAAGCTCCAACTTTCCCTCTTATTTAAGTCCTGGATTTTGAGTACAACAGGTATTTCCCTTCATTTTAGTTCCTAAAAAAAGGTGCTAAGACATGAGAAAGAGGCCAGAGCTAGAGAAACTTAACTTCCACTAAAACCACAATCCTCAAATTAAAATTTCCTATTAATCATATGCCAGCCTCCTTCTCCAGAGCACTGAATGAACAGCAAAGTAAGACTTTAAGTTCACCAGTCTGGTATCTAGTAAAATTTGGCAACACCCACGGTCTTTGTTAGAAATCAAGAGGCATGTTATTCCCATTAGAATATTATTTGAATGGAAATATATTGAAAGAAATTTTAAAAAGCAGCTTATAAAATACAGACTCCAGTTCAATTTTTATTTGTATACAAAAATATATTATAATGGGAAAAGCATATTACTGTTTCCAACTATATATAATTAATTACAAATATCTTCATAAAAGCACTTTAAATTACAGGAGAGCTATGTTTTTAGAGAAAATACAATATTAGCATTGGATGTCTGTTCTAATTTGCTGCAAGCAGGCAAACAAATTCAGTTTCACCATCTAAATTGCCCAAAGATGAGCCTGAAGATGGCCTCGTGGCAACAAGCACTTGTCTCCATCACCTCTGGCAGCAAATTCTGTAGCTGATTTTACCAGGTCCTTGGAGCTTTGTAAAGTTTCTCCCCTTTGATAAAAGGACCCACAATTTCTCCTTGCTTCACATACCTGTAAATAGAAAATAGATAAGGTTATTTACCACCAAAGTTTACTGGCCCTGCGCTTAACCAGATCACACCATCTCAACAGGCATCAAAGCACCAAACTTAATGGCAGGTTTCCCACAGCAAGTCTGTCTGATGAACTGGTATGACTGGGCAGCGGCTGCAATTTCCACAAAGCAGACAGGCTTGTTGTATCAGTTTCATACAAATTGTGCAGCGATTATACTAATCTCTGTCAAAACAGGCCTTAGTCCCCTGATGTAGGATGGTACAGCGTGTGAGAAAATAGGCATTAAAATCTTCAAGTGGAAAAGACACAAGGTCTTTCTTACCTCAGATGCAGGCCTGCCTGAGAGTGTTAAGAAAAGTTATTTTTAAATAACCAGGTTTGGACCTGATTTTTCATATTTTACCTGGTTATTACCAGAGTGTAATATAAAATCTAATAGGGGGAAAAAAAGATTTTTCTTACAGAAAAATCAATTCTGTTGAAAAATTAAGGGGCTCAGCCAAAATTCTCCAAGCAAGCCTGCTCTGAAACTCTTGGTTCCCCCAAGAGAAGAGATGTTGCAACTTCTGTCTCAGGTGTTCTCCTGGTCCTTCCAGCCCTAGAGATCCTGTCTTTCGGAAACAGAGTATATAGCAAGAGTCTCAGGATAACCTTCTTCTAGACCTCTCCTCGCAATGTTGTTAAGATCTGATATCTTCAGTTCCCAACATTTTTGGTCACACAAAATGGGGTACCATTAGAGTAACTGCCAAATGAAAAACAAGATATTGTGTACTTATTCTAGGTCTTTCGGTAGTTGGCATGAGTCTTTGGCTGGAACCAAAGTCAATTCTCTTTTGGGACCTAACCCTTTGGAGACCTCACCAAGCTCCTGATTCTAACCTGAGAAATGTCCCTGGTCCATGACATAGAACCTTCTGTCTGGTCGAGCCACTCCTCTAAAAAGCGGATCAGGCCACCATGATTAAGCTCCAATCTTGCTCTAACAACTACTTTGCTCTCCATTTCTCAAACAATACACCATTGTTTGTGGGTGACCTATTCTCCTGCTTGGAAAGGCACATTGATCTACTTTAACACAAGCTTATCCTCAGAATTTCTTTCTGAGCCACCAGGGTCCTGTTTCTGAAGCTAAAGACGCCTTATGATGTAACTTCCTGCCTCCAGGCAAGCTGGTAAACATTATTGCACTTTATCAGAGGTATCAGTCAGTTTTCTGATTTTTCTCATGCCAGGCATGTACTCACTTGCTAATGTCCTGTCAAGATCAGCAATAAAGTCTTCTAGCTCTTTCGTGTCTCCCAGTTTGGCTGAAAAGCAAGAGTTCAAGTTCAGTTTCCATCAAAGACACTGGTGTTCTGAGTTCTCCAGGATTATGCAACCCCATTCTGCATCTCTCCATCTTTATAGAGCCTTTATTGAAGAGTGCCCTGTACCAACCCCACATACCTGCTCCAATGTTTACAATCAACACAGAAACTTATTCTCTGATTAGCCTAAATGTTTCTCATTTTTTAATTCATGACCACACATCTCCTCCTCCCCCATGCCCACCCCAGCAACCTGAAGAAGACTTTCCCTTCACTGCCTTAAAAGTTATGTGGGAGCAAGGAGCAGTGAGGGAAGATCAAAAGTTCCTTTTTTTTTTTTTATGGTGTAGGATTTGAGTTACCAGTCAAAAATATTTGCTGAGAGAGAACATGGCACTGTACAGAATGGACACCCAGTTTCTGTAATTCCTGCTAAACTTTCTGTTATGTTATTCTTATTTTTTTTTTGTTTGTTTTATTTTTTTTAAAGATTTGTTTATTTATTTATATATGCACTGGGTACAGTCAGAAGCGCGGGAGGATGAGAGAATTCACCAGAGCCAGAGTGGGGAGCAGAGCAGGCAGAAGGACCGAAGTACACTGCTGAGGGGAGCAGCGGGCGGCAGGAGAGATCTGCGCGCCATGTGGGATCCTCCTCCGGTGGCTGGGGAGCAGCCGGGGACCGAACTGGCGCCGCAGAGGCCGCAGGCAGCTTCGCAACCCAGCGCTCAACCACTGCACCACCGGGGAGGCCCTGTTATGTTATTCTTATTCATGTTACAACCCCAGGTTAATGCTGCAGCCTGAGAATCCCCCCAGTGCAACATGAATATGGGGCCATTGTTCCTTGTCAGAATGGATATGGGAAGGTGACATGGGGTTTAGGTGGCAGGACAGCCTCATCCCATCCAGGTGCCTGCAGAAGGCAGTAAGTGAGTCCTTATCCTGACTTCATTTCCTCTATATCCTAAGTACTTTTTTCTGTATTTGCTGTAGAGTTCATCAGTCATGCCTTCTCTGAAATGCATCACTAGACATTTTTATTAATTAACACCCACTAGCTACAAATGGCTTATTGTTCTTAGCTTTTAAAGGCAATTTGCCACCAGGATTTTTGCTCTTTCTTAATTCCTGCCTCTTAAGGATCAGGTAGCAAACCTGTGGGCATTTTAAGCTACTTTCTAGACTGCTGCCTCTCTGAATTCAAGTAGATCCATTACAGACTGAGGGCTGGACAAAGGGAGAATCCCCAGTGGCTACTAACATTGCTGTGTTAAGAAGAGAATTTTAAAATGCCTCTTTTGAAAAACAGGGAAAATCTGCCTTAATGCCAGAGTGAGAAAAAGGATAGGCTCTTCATATTTCTTTTTAACGATGTTCCATTTTTCTTGCATTCTGCAACTATTTTCAGCAAGTATAACATTTCTTAAGAAAAAAACTCCTTTTGTTTTCAAGAGGGCACTTGTCCAAAATAACAGAACATTCAGCTCTCTAGCTGGAGACACTTAACTCGCTCCAAAAAATAAGAAACTGCTCATGCATCCTTAAAAACTTTTTAGGAGGTCTATTAATATCACAACGGAGACAGGCTGGAGCTGCTATTTTGAATTATGTTAGATCATCGCCTTTCTCATAATGATGACCCATTTAATTGCTAAATGGGTAATCTGAAAGCATTAGTTTAATAGTTAATGCAATAAAAAGAATCCTACTTTCTGCAAAGCCTAAATGCTGACTTTTAAATTCTAGAAAGCAACCAGTCTGGAAGAGCACTGTCATTATGTAGAGTCTTGATTATACCACAGGAGAGAGAAGAGAGTCTAAGTCTAGATATCGCCTGTCTCCCTGTGAATTCGGTTCCCTACCCCTACCCCCACCAAATTATCTGATTTCATTTTCACACTGACCAAAATCCTAGGAATTGGCATGTTCCAGCACTGCACTAAGATGCCAGTGTTATCTACTTGTCTTGCACATCTGGGGGAAGATTGGTCAGGGAGAAACGAGAAAAGTGGTTGAGAAGCACAGGGAAATAAAAAGGCAAAAAAACAAAAACCCTCACTCCAGTGAATGAACTTACCTTTGCGAGGAGTGACAGAGGGAGAGAGCAGAGTTGGAGTTGAGTCTGTTGGAGAATTCAGCTTTTCATCGCTGAAGCTGAAACTGTTCCTGCAAAGCGAATCTGCACCTTTTCAGGAATGAAAAAGGTACCCGTAAGAAATGGTTTTCAGTCCAGTCTATTGAGAACCAACAGTTTATCTCCAAAAGGAGTAAAAGTTGTAAATTTAGAGTAAAGAAAGCAGGTTGATTTCCAGATTTTACATTTATGCCCCCCAAAAGGGCAGGGGTGTTGATCTCTCCCACCTGGTGCCCCAGAGGCCCTCGCTTCTCTACAAAAAGAAAGCGTGGGGCCTCCCCTGGTGGCGCCGCAGCGGTTGAGCGCTGGGTTGCGAGGCTGCCCACAGCCCCTGCAGCGCCAGTTCGATCACTGGCCACCAGCGAGGGTCCCACAAAAAAAAAAAAAAAAAAGGAAAGAAAGCGTGAAGCAATCAGCACGGTCACAGCAGCCGCATCTGCAGCGCACAGGAGCCCACTGTCCAGGTGTCTACCTATCACTTGGCCATCATGTCATGTACCTGGCAAGGGATGTCGGAGGTGGCTGGGGATTTTAGACATAAGGAGTAATCTTCCCTGAAAAATGTCTCTTCCACCCTCTAAACCCCCAAAATAAAAACATGAAGTGAATCCCATGACTGAAAATCTTCCTGACAGCCTACATTCTGGGGATAAACTAGAGGGACAAAGACAATGATTTCTCCAGGGAGGTTGCCCATTATAGACACCTGCAGCTATTTCATGCCTTCCTTTATTCTCATATCCCCAAGGACCAGAGCAAGAGCCAGGAAAGGTCCCAGAAGTAGATTGTGCCAGGAGTCAAGGGAACCTGCTCAGCTTTTAAGTGCTCAGGAGCCCTTGAGCAAGACAGTTTCAGGGCCTTGGCTTACTCATCAACAAAATGGGAAGGTGAGCTAAGTAATCCTTCAAGTCCCTTCCAGCCCAGAAATTCCGAGATTCGATTTTTCTGTCCTGTCAAGGAGAAGGAAACCAGCCCATGGTGGGCCCTGGGTGTGTGGCTGTGACATAGAGGAGCATTGTGCACTAATGCAAGGGGTTCAAAGGCAGAGCAGGCGGCGGAAGCAGGATGTGGCCACCGAGGTCAAGAAGGTACAACCTCCTGGTTAAAACAAAACACAAAGCCAGCCAAGGTGGTAGCAGAGATGAGCTCTGGAGAGGTTTTTCAGGTGAGAGAGGGCAGCTAACTCATGAGGGCCTGGCAAGGTCCCAATCCTTCTTAAGATTCACTCACTTTAATCCACCTGCTCCCAGCGCTGGAAGAGGCAAAACCATTTTCTCTGGTCCCCTTAACTAAAAACTCACATAACTGTCACATAGGCCCAGAGTACAAAGGGTTTTCAGAAGCAGAGGCTTCTGATCTTAAGAGCATCCTCTTCATCCCCAAGAGGATGCTTAACGTTCTCTGGCACCTCACCTGTCTCCCTCTCCTCTGACCAGGTGGCCATCTTGTCCTCCCGACACACACACCCCCATCTTGTCCGCTTTCCCAAAACTGCCCAACCCTCACAACCTTTTCTCCTTTCAGAGATTCAGCCTGGTCACTTATGACTACCACCTTCTTTTTTTCATTTTTCCCCAGAAATTTCATGATGGATACCTACTGAGATTCAAAATGCTGAAATTCAAACTTCTATTTCCCAAAAAAATGTATTCCTCAGAACAGTGGTCCCTTGGAAAAGAAGAGCTGAGTGATCAACAAAGTTTGAGAACACTGATCACCTTGGAGATACTCACTGTCATTCGCTTTTGAAGTCCCTGAGAAGTCTGTGATAAGGAAACCAGTTTAGCCCTAACTCCCAAGTTTACATGACCATGGGACACCTGTTTTGTGGCACCCCTGTTATTATTTCTCAGGACACTTGTAGTTGGTGGAGCTCAATGTAGGAAGCCCTTCTGCTGGCTCTGTCAGCTGAGCCCACCTCCAGAACAATCTGGATTTTCTCAAGGGAAAGCCTTTCCCTACATACAGAAAGTGGTCATGCCTCCTGCAGCCTACAGTGGGGCATTGCTATTTATCACCAAGCAATGGGTGGGAGACTCAACACAGACAGAACCTGAGAAACCTGTGGGGAAAAGATGAAGTAATACGGGGGCAGAGAAACCAAGGCCTTGTACTCAGACTCCTGAGGTAGAAGGAAGGAATATGAGGCCCTTGGCACATGACTATTTGCTCTGAAGGACACTTAAGGCCATCATCCCCATTCCTGACCCAGAGGGTCAAACCCAGAGACTTGCTGATCCAGACCTCAGTGGCCACACCTCTAGGCTCTATCTCCCAGGAGCAGTTGGCTCTTGAGAGCCAGTTTTACTACCACACCTCACTCCACCCCACCCTACAGCAGCCCCTGCCCTTGCTTTGGATTTCATCTCTAATCTGCCTCAGCCCTCCAGCAATTTTACATGTACATGTTCTCCTTTGGGAAGGGGAAACTCAAAACTGTCTCTCCCGCTCACCCTCCTCCCTCAATGTAATAAAACCTAATGCCATTGAGTCTTCAGTGAAGGAATGACCTAGACATGGAAAAGATATTTGCAAAATATAGAGAAAAAGGATTCCAGGGATGATTCAGGAAAAGTGAGGTGGTTCAGGTGGTTTGAGGAGAGTCTGTAGAGAATGAGCCAGACAACACTGACCTCACATCTCTTCTCTTACCCTTTAAGGCCTGGTACTAAGTGCTTTCTTGATGCAAGTATTTTCCTCAAGCTCAAAAAATACATAAATGAACTAAGTTTTACTTGACAAACTCAACTGCAACCAAACTATTAAATAATCAGAAGTTGCCTCTTGTCACTGATAAATTCATGTAACTACCGTTATGAGGGAGATACTGGTGATAACATCTCTTTGTTTAAAAATACCCACATGCAGGTTTATCAGCACAGCATATGCTTACTTTCCCCTCCCCCACCTCAACACACACACACACACACACACACACACACACACACACACCCTTCTGTCAAGCCTCTTTTCAGAATTCCAGTGTTCAATCTGGCCAAAAATTGACTTCAGGCTCCAAAATGTTCAACCATTAAAAAGAAATCAACTTCCAGCATCCTCGAGCCAAAACTCCCCATAGTTTCTTCCCTGCTGTGGTCATACTCTATACACATCATTTATGAAAGAGCTGACAAGTACAACCTCAAGAGCCCCTAAGCTACTCTGGGCCCAGCAGAAGCTGCCTCTACAGAGCTGTGTGGCAGAAGATGAGGTGAGAAAGCTGTGTGACCGTGCAAGTCACTTCCTACTGCCTTCTAAGCCTCAGTTTCTTCTTCTGCAAAAGGGAACAATGACCTAGGGGCTCCATGTATGATATAATGGATTTCATGGTTACATTCTAAAGGTGCAGGCAAAAGGAAAGATAGCTTGCCTGGGAGAGAGAACAGATCAAGATTCTAGACCCTGCGGTCCTCCTCTTCTTCACACAGCAGCACAAATTAAGATAAGTTCATCTTCAGAGACACGCTAGAACAAGCCTTCTGAGAACAAGCCACCAACACAGTAGTAGTCCTCTCTTCACCCTTTAGCCAAGAAAGTTTCATTCCACTACAACGAACAAGATCCCACACTAGGCTTTGAAGTACATAAAAAGCCCAACTTATTCTTTCCACTTCCCCTGGAACTCTATTCCTTGCAAAGTCACAGTCAGTTATTCTGATAAGATGACAACACTGTGTCGCTGGTTGAACATATATTCAGGTATTATTGCCCAACCACAGGGCCAGGTGCCGCTATTAAAAGAGGCTCAAGGGACCATAGCAGTGGTGATTTGGGGAACCTTGGCAGGTGACAATACTAGGTATTTTAGGACCTTGCAGCATTTACTTCAATTGGCTGTAAAGCCCCCTATCACAAATTTCCCAAAGTCCAGTAGAAATGCCCCTAGCAAGTCAACTTAGTGTGTAAAAAGCCAGGAACCTCAAATTTAGACACCAAGTTTTCTAAGACACCATGAAAAGAAATGTAAACACATTAAGTACACAAACATCTAACTTTAGGTGCACCAACAGAGCTTGAGAGACTCAGCTGCAAAAACAGCCTTGTTTAAAAGGTAAATGTGCTTTCTTAGTTTGGGAGCAGAGAGAAAGGTAATTTCAGGTTAGCACCAACATGAGCTGCTCCAGGGGGAAGTAAAACCACAGACATAAACCTTGCCCAGAGTTCCTATAAATATAGAACGAGACCACATGTTTAAGGCAAGCAAACTATAGTAATTAACTGAGAAAAAGAAAGTCTTGAACCTGTTTCCCTTTTGCCACAGGGAATGGTACGAATATTGGGGTGGGAGGGGGTGAGGATGAGACCTTCTCCTCCAAATCTAAATTCTGACAGCCTGTGTGATAGAATAAGAAAGAGCCACTTTATTCCGTGCTTCCCCTGTCCACTGCTCAGTCTCTCTGGACACCTCACCACCAGAGTGAGACGTGTCACACCTCCCCCCTGGAATTCCTAGCACAGTACCCAGGCAATCTGAGGGCTCCCAACTCCTCACTCTTTCAGGACTTGGACAAGTTCAGCTTCTAGTTTCGATGATTTCTATGCCACATCAGCAGGCATGCTCCCTGTTATGGTGGCACCCAGGGTCCAAGGTCGCTATCCCAGTGCCAGGCTCCAAGAGTCTAGGCAAATATAAACAGGCCGTTCTAAGTCTTGCACTTGCTAAAGAAACCAGTTCCTTATTCCCTAAAATGACCCCACTGTTGTACACTGTATCGTCACAGCCCCAGCATAGACAGTACACTTCAGACCTTTTCTGTTAAATTGCAAGATACTTCCTACCTCAGAGGAAAAAACTAAGTGAAAGCTCACTACAGCCAAGATATAAGTCCATGTCACCTTTCAAATTCAGGTTAATATTATAAACTTCTTATGAAATCAACCTGGAGAAACAAATGAATAAATTGGTTAAAATTTAATAATTATGAGATAAAACTTGATTAAACACTTTTGAGAAGTCATGGTGTACATGTATAGTTTTGAAAATACAAAAACGAAAAAGTCTTTAAGGGCCTCCCTGGTGGTGCAAGGGGTTAAGATGTAACCTATGAAGCTATCCGAAGCCTCTGCAGCACAAGTTCAATCCCCATGGCCAGGGAGCAGCTCACATGGCGCAGCAGACCTCTCCTGACTTACCCGCTTCTCCCCTCAGCAGTGTATTTCAGTCAATCTGCCTGTTCTGTTCCCCACTCTGTCTCTGGTAAATCCTCTCTCACACACACACCCCACCCCCGCACCTCTGGCCTGTACCCCAGTTCTTGTAAGTGTAAATAAATAAATCTTTAAAAAAAAAGTCTTTAATAATAAGTTCAAACCAAAGATGTTTACTATTCTTGAAACATGTCTGAGTATCAAGTTTGAACAACACTGCCCTCATTCCTAATTGCACTGCCTTTTTACTGCTGAAGTTAAAATTACTCCCACTAAAGTGTTTGATATTACCTGTTGGAACACAAGTCCAGGGAAAGGAACAAGGCTATTTTGTTTAGATGACCACCACCACCCCACCCCCGCCTGATTCGAATCGAACGCTTACCCTACAATAAAGATAACTTGCAAATTGTTGTTTGGGCCCACTTCTTATCTTACGAGGATTCCCTATAAGGGGAACAGGAAAGAGTATTTCTTTATTAAATTTCTGTTCTTTTCTTTCTATGTAACTTGCTTGTATTGAATGGAAGAAGAAATGGGTATTTCTTTCTTTTAAGATGTAAGCAACCTAAATCCTTTTTTTATGGAGAAAAGGAAGTTTCTTCAAAAAAACAGGGATGCAGTAAGTACATCTTCAGAGCAATCATGCTATGAAAGGTAGAGTGAAAAACCAAGTTAACAAGGATTTAGAGCTTCAAACATAATATTTGCAGGCAAGATACTGACTCAAAGGTATCTGATCAATGTCATATAACATGTACATGCACTCTAATGCTTTGTTGAAAGCATTAAACAGAGCAATTTTTTTTTCCCCAGTCATGAACTTATGGATGTTTCTAAGAGTAGCCTTTTAATATTACAGCTAGAGAAACTGAAGTCTGCTCATCGCCCTGGGCGCTAATGACCCAACTATATGACCATTGCCTTGAAGAGACATGGACAACACACCCATTATTAATAAACAGACACTGATTAGTGTTCAGTGGAACTTGTCTATTCCTGAGAACCTGGCTCCCATTCCAGCCAACCAGCAAGATCTCAGAAAGCCACATGGTTCTGCTACCTCATCAGGAAAATGGCAATAACAGTGCCTATCTTACAGGACCAGAGTGGAGATCACACGAGATAACACACTTAAAGCACAGCAAACAGGTCACGAAGAGAAAGAGTGAATAAACGATAGGAATTAGAATGAGGGTTTGGTAGAAATGAGCTGTTGTTATTCTCATCCAGATGTCTCTTGGTGGACTAAATTTCAGATCTACCTCTCTCAAACATTCTTTTCCACCAAAAAACATCAAACAGACAAATGATTATAACAAATGTCTGTGCTCAATTCTTGGCGGCAATTAAAATACACATATTATGTGCTTCCTTAAGAAATTACCATTTAAATACACACAGCTCCTGCCAAGACTATCTAACCAGTCGTGTGGGAGACAAGATAGATATACTACAGAAAAAACTCATGTCATCAGTCTTCTTTTTACCCTCTCAATTACTTCTCTAACCACCAAACTAAGGGTTAGTTTAACAGTTAACAAGAGAAGCAGACAGGAAAACACACACATATACCCAAAGAAAAACTACAGACTATTATTCCAAATATCTCCTCCAAAACTGTTAAAAAATGTGCTTTGAGTGCCTCCTCCAAACTCCTGAAAACAGATCCCAGATGTGAAATCCTACCCAGGGGGAGTTGCAGTCACCCATGAATGGGCGAGCTCAAGGCTGTATTCGGCTGAATGTTGCTGAGCCTCAGACGGATTTTCTTTGCTCTAGAGCGCCAGTGAACACACTGATGCAGCTTTCTTCCCCGTGGGGAGGAGACTATGCTTGATGAATAACTTGCTCTATGCCCCAGGAGAAGGAGACATACTTAAGTTGCCCAGAGATAAGGAGACAAATTTCAAAAAATTTAAATTTGCCTTTGAAATTGGAATTAAGTAGCATAGCCATCAGCAACAAGGTCCAAAAATGCAAAATGAAAAATTAACAGTATACTATTATATTTCCTTTTACCCCCAAAACTGCAATTAGATCTAACTCTTGGGCAGGGCTACCAGGGAAACTCACACTGGAACTAGGGCTTCTGACTCAAACCATGAAGAGGGTGGCGTGTGCCCTTTATCCCTTTTTAGGAGGCCAACTCATGTTAAGTGTAGGACACTCTCCTTGCCTTGCAGCAAGAGAGAGTCTGTGAATTCAAAAGAAGAGAATCACAAGGAAAGGTTGTTGCCTTTACTTCCAGTGTCAAGGGCAGCAAAAGAAATGGCATCTACACTTGTAACTCATCTAGGGATTGAAGTCTCAAGTGTGACCCAGAAGAATTTAAAACACACTTTGAAAAATAATAAGTAATCCAGGATTTGAAAACCAACAATTACATACTATTGAAAAGTCCCCCAATTTGCTGTTTGGTACCTAAACAGGGACTCATACATAATCCTGCAGGACAGTATAAGTTCCTGAAAAAGCGGTCTCTCTTTATATTCTTGTCATTTAGGGCACAGAGACTCCCTTGTTATGAGAAAGGTCATCAGAAGCACCTCTGTACCCATCTGCGCTCTGACTACCCCTCCATCCTAGGCAGGAGTCCGCAGACCCTTTGGTGGACTTTGCTAAAGGAAGAGAGATTCTTTGTAAAATACTTGAACTTGGCAGTGCCAGGAAGTTTCAAAACCCCCAGGCACTAGGGGCTGCTGGTTGCTGAGGGCCAGAAAAAAGTTCAAGAAGTTATTTCAGAAATCCCAAGAACATCGGCTTATGAAACTTTTCCTGATTTCATAAATGTTTTCCCCCATTCCCATATCACTTGCCCCACATCCTCTGAAAAGTTACTGCTTATAGGAGAGGGACGGGGGCAGGGGTAAAAGGAGGGAGAGGAACTGGACAGGCCTGGCTTGGGTCCCAGGAGTGCACTCTGCAAGAGGGAGGGCAAGATGCTTAAATCCCTCCTGCCTCATGACACCTGCAGGTGGCTGGCAGACCAGCCTGCTGGCCCACTGGGCCTACCACCCTGGAAACTCATCTGCCCCAGCTCCTAAAGACTGCCTGGAGCTTCAGGGTTTGCTGTGTCCTGCCCCACCCCTGGCTTACAGATAGGCAAACTGAGGCCAAAATGCTCCTTCCTGGGCTGCCTCCAGGGAGTCCCCGGGGCTCCGGGCACGGCCCTGGCAGGCGCCACACTTACTCTCCGAGTCGCTGAAGCCGCTGCTGTCGCTAACGCTGGCGCTGCTCCGCCGCTTCATGCGCTCCAGGTGCTCCTCGTAGTGGAAGTGGCGCTCGTGAAAGGGCGATGCGAAGTCGGCCAGCACCGCGTCGAACTCGCACAGCGCGTCGGTCAGATCCCCCGCCGCGGCCGAGTCTAAGGCCGGGGCTGCGGGCAAGAATGGAGGTTCTCAGGGGGGTGGGGGGCCGAGCGGCCAGGACGAGGACTCTCCCGCGCGCTTGCCAAGTGACAGCCACGTGGTCGCAGCTGCTCCTTACCTTGTGTCTTTCCACCTCTCAACACCCACGCCCACAACTTTGAGATGAGAACAGTGAGCCTCCGCCCGGCCCAGCGAGGCTGCAGACCGTTTGGTCACCCCGCTAAGCGGCACAGCCCAACTTTTCCACTGCCGGGTACCTGTGCCCACGCCTGCTCCTGGGGGGCGCGGCCGCGGGGGGAGCATGAGTCAGGGCGCACCCGCACCCGTTACGTGTGGGGCTCGAGTTCCCAGGCTGGTATGGAAATTTAGGGGCAGGGTCCCGGAGTGAAGACCGGGAGGCCGAGGTGGGGGATACAGGGCTCCCCTCTCGCTGTCACCCGCCCGCAGGGCCGGGGCTGGAAGGGGACCCGCCACTCACCTGCAGCCGCGGCCGCGGCGGGGTTGCGCTGCGCGGAGGGAGGCTTCATGGGACGGGTTTTGCCCTCGGCAGGGAGGTGCTGACCTGGGGCCACGTGGACTTTGGCGCGCGGGGCCGGAGTGGCCGCGGGCTCGCTCTCCCCGCTGCGCTCTGCTCTGCTCTGCTCGCCGCCTTCGCCCGGCCGCGCCGCTCCCAGCGCCGCGCGCTCCCCGCTCTCCCCGCAGTGCCCGCCACCCGCCGGTGCTGCCGCCTTATAGCCGCGGGCGGAGGCGAAGGCGGGACGACGGGCACGACGGGCGGGGCCGCGGAGCTGGGGCCCCACGCGTCTGCCCGGCGGAGCAGGGGACGCCCCTGTAGCAGGCCCCGCGCGCCGGCACCACCCTCGCCACACGCCCCCTCCAGGGAACCGCAGTGACGCTGAGGTCCGGAGCCCAGGTTACAGCCCCAAATATTTACCCGCCGCTTTCCCGCGCGCCCTGACAACCCCACCCATGAAAGTGTCTTTGGCGTCACCAGAGCCGCAAAGAGTTTACACTTCTGCTGCAGCTCCTTTGCTTCCCGCTGTGCATCCCTAACCTCCCGGGCCTCAGTTTCCTTACCTGTGAGATGGAAGGGCTGAGCCTGCTGAGTTTGCTGTGATAAATAAAGTAGCTGGAGGTTAGGAGACCCAAAGATACAGAAGGTGTCTCCCACACGCCCCCATCCTCTAATCCCCAAGGGGTTTAAGGATTGCTGGTGGATGGAATGGAGAAAGTAAGGCACAGCACAAACTAAAGTTGGTGGGGTAGAAGTACTTATGACCTTAATTGTTTCCACCCCAGGGTGGGGAGGTTGGGGAGGGCGGGGGCGGAGAGACACCTAGAGTCCTGGGTGTTCACACCAGCTACTGAGTTTGTTGGGGAAGAAATTACTTCACAGAAGCTACCTTGAGCTTCTATGAAGCTCGGTGTGCACCCTAAGCCACCCAGACCAGAAATCTGATTGGGGGACCAGTCATGGCCATGAATAACTCCCCACTCCTAGAACACCCTAGAGCTTGCGCTGCCTAATTCCGTAGTTACTTGCCACGGGTGACTATTTAAATGTAAAGCAATTACAAAGGAAAAAATGCAAACATTCACTCCTCAGTCGCACTAGACACAGTTTAAGTGTTCAACAGCCATCAATGCAGTGTCTCCTGACCATAAACTGACCTCAGAGAAAAGCAGGACAACTTAGGTGCCAGGTCCTGGCATGCACCATCGCCAGCCCCACAGCAACCCCGAGAGGTAGAAAAACTTCTTCTATTTTACAGGTGAGAAAACTGAGGAACAGACAAGCATCTGCAGCAATGTAGTGACATAAAGTCAGGTCTGTTTTCAGAGCCTCACCCTCCCTTCTTTCCCCTGCATTAGCTGGAGAACTGAGCAGGCAGGAGGAAGAGCCTCCAAACAGAGGAGCAGATAGCCTAGAAGCCACTAGGCAAGGCGTTTACATCTTTCTTTTTTCCTCCTCTTTTCCCCATCTCCCCTTTTAATTCTTTGTTCCCCCTTCTTCCTTCCTTGTCTTTGACTTGCCCATGGCACCCACTGGTGATGCTCTCAGCTAACCAGGAAGCAATTAATTTGGGACCTTAGACCAAGGAGCTGCCTTCCAAATGCAACTCTCATCTTGGCCAGGACTGGGGTACATACTGCTGAACACCCCAGCCTGATTCTTGCATCATGGTTCAGGGTCCCTCTTAGCTAAGGCAAGCTCATCTACAAAAGAGCCTACAAAAGAGCCCCACTTCTTAGCAGCCACGCTAACTGACAGAGTGTCTACCAGGAGAGATTAGTTGTTGCTGTCATATACAACCCACTATAAAGAGATTTGCCCCAGCACTGGGGAGATGGATAGGTAGGAGGCCAACTATTACCTCCTCTAGATTGAGAGTCACTTTGGTTATAAAGAACTACTGTTCTCTTTTTCCTAATTATAAATGTAAATTCAGAAAATTGGTTATAACACTCTATATAGCAGAGTATTGAGAACACATTAATTTCTGTCAGTTACTTCAGATATTTTTTGAGGTATTGTGTCCTTAATGCAAAAAAGTACACAATTCTTGAGTGTACAGGTTGGTAAATTTTCACTTATGTATACACCTGTATCATTATCATCCAGATCAACATATATTTTTTTATCACCATCTAAAATGGTCTCTATTTCATTTTCCAGGCAATTGCACCCCAGAAGTAACCCTTACAGTAACTTCTGTTCTGCATTCTCTCACCAGGAGTTAGTTTTACTAGTTCTGCAATTCCATAAAATCATACTGTCTTTATTCTTTTACATTTTGCTTCTTTTTTTTTAAAGATTTATTTATTTTTATACAAGAACTGGGGTACAGGCCAGATGTGCGGGAGGGTGAGAGGATTCACTGGAGACAGAGAGGGGAACAGAACAGGCAGACTGACGAAATACACTGCTGAGGGGAGCAGCAGGAGAGACAGGAGAGGTCCGCTTAGCCATGTGGGATTCTCGCTGGCCAGCCGGGATCGAACCTGTGCTGCAGAGGCTGCAGACAGCCTCACAGCACTGCACTCAACCACCTGCGCTACCAGGGAGGCCCTACATTTTGCTTCTTTTGCTTAATCTAACATCATGAGATTCATCCATATTGTTGCAATATTAATCCATCCTCCTACTCATGGACTTCTGAGTTGTTGTTATTGCAAATAGTGGTGCACTGAGTGTTCTTGTACCTCTCTTCTTATATACATAAATAAGAGTGCCTAGAATATATATCTGCAAGTTGAAAACCAAATTAGTTTGATTACTCTAATCATTGGATGTTATAAACAAAACTGCTGCGATGTAATTGTATGTTTCTTTTGATGCACATAAATACTTCTCTTTTTGTTGTTTTTTTTTTAAGATTTATTTATTTATACAAGAACCAGGGTACAGGCCAGATGTGCGGGAGAGTGAGAGGATTCACCAGAGACAGAGCAGGGAACAGAACAGGCAAACTGACAAAATACACTGCTGAGGGGAGCAGTGGGTGAGACGGGAGAGGTCTGCTGCACCATGTTGGTATCTCCCCGGCTGGCCGGGATCAAACCCGCAGTGCAGCAGCTGTGGACAGCTTCACAGAGCTGCGCTCAACCATCTGTGCCACCAGGGAAGCCCATAAATACTAACTCCTCTTGAGTTTATAACTAGGACTGGAATTTCAGAATCACAGTAAAGACCTCTGTTAAGCTTTCAAAGATAATGCCAGTTTTCTGGAGTGGGTAAAGACCTCTGTTAAGCTTTCAAAGATAATGCCAGTTTTCTGGAGTGGGTAAATCTACACTCCCACCATCAATGTGTAACAATTCCAGTTGCTTTGTATTTTTGTCAACATATGATACTGTTTGAAAAGCAGACACACAGACCAATGGAATTGTACTGAAAACCCAAAAATAAAGCCACACATGTATGGACAAGTAATCCATGACAAAGGAGCAAACAATGTGCACTGGAACAAGGAAAAAATCTCTTCAATAAATGGTGATGGGAAAATGGACCGCCACATGCAAAAGAATGAAACTAGATTACTACCTCTCATCATACACAAAACCAACTTTTGAGCAAAATGGTTAAAAGACTTGAATGTAAGACCTGAAACCATAAAATATATAGAAGAAAACATAGGCACAACACTCCAGGACATACATCTCAGAAACATCTTTGAGGACTCATCCCCAGAAGCAAAGAACATGAAGGAAAAGAGAAACAGCTGGGACTACATCAAACTAAAAAGCTTCTGGGCAGCAAAGTAGATAATACCCAAAATGGAGACACCCGACAGACTGGGCAGAAATATTTGCACTCCACATAACCGATAAGGGACTGATATCAAAGATCTATAAAAAGCTTACACAACTCAACAAAAACAAAGCGAAGAACCCAGTCAAAAAATGAGAACTAAAAAGACACTTTTCCAAAGAGGAAATGCAAATGGCTGACAGGTATATGAAAAAAAAGTTCAACAACACTTATAATCAAGGAAATGCAAATCAAAACCACAATGAGATACCACCTCACACTGGCGAAAATGGCCCATATTAAAGAAACTGGCAACAACAAATGCTGGCGAGGATGTGGAGAAAAAGGAACACTTTTACACTGCTGGTGGGAATGCAAACTGGTCCAGTCACTATGGAAGGCTGTGTGTAGGTTTCTCAAATTACTAAAAATGGATCTACCATATGGCCTATCAATTCCACTACTAGGAATTGATCCAAAGGATATAAAAACATTAATTTGAAAAGAAGCTTGCACTCCTATGCTTACTGCAGCATTATTTACAATAGCTAAGATACAGAAACAACCTGAATGTCCAAAAACAGATGAAAGGATCAAGAAGACATAGTATTTACACATAATGGAATACTATTCAGCAATCAAAAATGATAAACTCAAGCTATTCTACAGCAACATGAATGGAGCTATAAATTATGCTCAGTGAAATACATCAGAAGAAAAAGCAAAATATTGGATGGTTTCATTTATAGGAGGAATATAAGGAAACCAAACAAAGGGTCAAAAAAAAGAGAGAGAGAGCGACAAAACTTGCAGGCAAGCTACAGATCTAAGGCAATCAGCAGGGGAAGGGAGGGAGATGGGTCAAAAGAGGGGAGGAAGAGCAAAAAGGACCCTGATGTGGTGGGAGATCTATGGGGACTACTCCTGAGCAGAGAAATCAAATATTGTACAAAATAATGTACAAAAATGAACATGTAAGAAAATAAAAAAATTTAATTAATCAAAAAGTAAATAAGTGGGCCTCCCCTGGTGGCGCAGCGGATGAGTGCTGGGCTGCGAGGCTGCCTGCAGCCTCTGAAGCACCGGTTAGATCCCCGACCACCAGGCGAGGGTCCCACATGGCGCGCAGACCTCTCCTGCCGCCCCGCTGCTCCCCTCAGCAGTGTACTTCGTCAGTCTGCCTGTTCTGTTCCCTGCTCTGGCTCTGGTGAATTCTCTCACCCTCCCGCACTTCTGACTGTACCCAGTGCTTGTATAGATAAATAAATAAATCTTTAAAAAAAAGTAAATAAGTAAAATTTTAAAAATGACCGATTTGTGAGTTTTAATCACTCTAATGAGTGACTGGCTTTTTACTGTAGTTAGTTCTT